CCTCCCTTCCTTTGCTCTTATTCCATCCTTCCTTGTCTCTTTCCTTCCTTCCCTATCTTTCTCTCTTTCATTCCTTCTCTCCTACCTTCCCTCTCTCTTTTCTTCCTTCTTTCACTTTTTTATTTCCTTCCCTCCTTCCTTCCTTCCTTCTCTTTCTCTTTGTCTTTCCTCCCTCCTTTCTCTCCTTTCCTTCCTTTTCCCTTCCAGAAGGGAAAGAAAAAGAGGGAAGGAAGGTGAGAAAGAACGAAAGAGAGAAAGAGGGGGGAGGGAAGGAAGGAAGGAAAGAGACAAGGAAGGATGGAACCAAAGAGCAAAGGAAGGGAGGAAAGAAACAAGTAGAGAAGGAAGAAAGAAGAAGGGAAGGAGGAAGGGAAAGAAAAAGAAGGAAGGAAGGTGAGAAGGAACGAAAGAACGAAAGAGAGAAAGAGGGAGGGAAGGATGGAACCAAAGAGCAAAGGAAGGGAGTTCTGTGTGCCATATTTGGTTCAATTCCATAATTAGTGGAGTTCAGAATGCTCTTTGATTGTAGGTGAACTATACATCCCAGTAACTACAACTCGCATATGTCAAGGTCTATTTTCCCCAAGAGCATCCACCCCTGGGCAAAATCAACTATACTGCGAATGCTTACTTTGCGTATGGGTTGCGCCGCTCCTGATCCCACAAGATGGATCCAATTTGGATCGAATGCTCCTGAATCGGAGCATTAGAGGGACGCATTTTTTGCAGGCACAAGCGCCGACCGCCACTTTTTAAAAATTCATTGGCTTTGAGATATATTATCATGATTTTTTTCTCGGTGCCGAGTGAGCGTGACTCATTCGGCTCTTCGGCTTCCCAAACGGAAGAGCGGCGCAGAGTCGGAACAATAAAAGACCAACAAATCAAAACCAGCCCAGACGCTCAATAGATCAAGCCATCAAAGGAAGAGAATCAAATCGGCGTATATTGGAAGCCAGTATTAAAAATAATGGAAACAAGCCACAAACAAAACAGAAAGGCAAGGTCTAAGCATATTGTGAAGAGGCCGTAAAGCACAGCCTTGATTTAGAAGCAGGAGATGCCCCAAACGTTGCATCTTGCAAATTGGGGGGCATAATGCAAAAGCCTCTCCCCAAAAAACGTAACAGTGGGGCCAAAATAGGGCCCTATTTGCATGACAAAATCCCTTGCAAGGCCGGCAGCCAGGAGATGGGGAGAGGCAGAGGAATGTGTGTGAGGACGCAGTGTAACAACTACTTTGGGAAAGTGGGGAGAGAGATGTTGAAACTCCTTTAACAGCTCTTTCGGTTCTTTGCAAAGCAAAACTGGGCAACCCTCCAAGCCTCTCCGGCCACAAATGGCAACGGAGGAACGCTTCCCTGCAAGCAGGTGGTTTTTGCCCAGCTTTGGGCCGAGAATTGCCCTCAAAATATATTATTATTATTATTATTATTATTATTATTATTATTATTATTATTATGTTGTTGTTGTTGTTGTTGTTGTTGTTGTTGTTGTTTATGTCTTCTCATTAACACTGAATGTTTGCCATATATCCTGGAAACCGCCCTGAGTCACTTCGGGGAGATAAAATTTTATTATATACTCACTGTACCCGTCTCGCGTTGCTGTGGCCAACCTTCCCTCCCTCTTTCTCTCCTTCCTTCCTTCCCTCCCTCTTTCCTTCCCTCCCTCTTTTTCTTTCTCTTCTACTTTCCCTTCTTCTTTCTTCTTTCTCTACCTGTTTCTTTCCTCCCTTCCTTTGCTCTTTGGTTCCATCCTTCCTTCCCTCTTTCCTTCCTTCCCTCTTTCCTTCCTTCCCTCTTTCTCTCCTTCCTTCCTTCCCTCCCTCTTTTTCTTTCCCTTCTTCTTTCTTCTTTCTCTACCTGTTTCTTTTTTCCCTTCCTTTGCTCTTTGGTTCCATCCTTCCTTGTCTCTTTCCTTCCCTCCCTCTTTTCTTCTTTCCCTCTTTTTCTTTCTCTTCTTCTTTCTTCCTTCTCTACCTGTTTCTTTTCTCGCTTCCTTTGCTGTTTGGTTTCATCCTTCCTTGTCTCTTTCCTTCCTTCCTTCCTTCCTTCCTTCCTTCCTTCCTTCCTTCCTTCCTTCCTTCCTTCCTTCCCTTCCCTTCCCTTCCCTTCCTTTCTCCCTCTCTCTTTCTCTCTTTCTTTCTCTCCTTCCTTCCCTCTTTTTCTTTCCCTTCTGCTTTCCCGTCTTCTTTCTTCCTTCTCTACCTGTTTCTTTCCTCCCTTCCTTTGCTCTTTGGTTCCATCCTTCCTTGTCTCTTTCCTTCCTTCCTTCCTTCCTTCCTTCCTTCCTTCCTTCCTTCCTTCCCTCTTTTTCTTTCCCTTCTGCTTTCCCGTCTTCTTTCTTCCTTCTCTACCTGTTTCTTTCCTCCCTTCCTTTGCTCTTTGGTTCCATCCTTCCTTGTCTCTTTCCTTCCCTCCCTCTTTCTCTCCTTCTTTCTCTCCTTCCTTCCTCTTTTTCTTTCCCTTCTTCTCTTCTCCTCTCTTCCTTTTTTTCTTTTTTCCTTTTCCTTCCTTTCTCTTTTCCTCCTTCTTTCCCTTCTTCTTTCTTCCTTCTCTACCTGTTTCTTTCCTCCCGTCCTTTGCTCTTTGGTTCCATCCTTCCTTGTCTTCCTTCCTTCGTTCCCTACCTCCCTCTTTCTCTCTTTCGTTCCTTCTCTCCTTCCTTCCCTCTTTTTCTTTCCCTTCTGCTTTCCCTTCTTCTTTCTTCCTTCTCTACCTGTTTCTTTACTCCCGTCCTTTGCTCTTTGGTTCCATCCTTCCTTGTGTCTTTCCTTCCCTCCTTCCTTCCCTCCCTCCCTCTTTCTCTCTTTCGTTCCTTCTCTCCTTCCCTCCCTCTTTTTTTTTCTCTTCTGCTTTCCCTTCTTCTTTCTTCCTTCTCTACCCGTTTCTTTCCTCCCTTCCTTTGCTCTTTGGTTCCATCCTTCCTTCCTTCCCTCCTTCCGTCTTTCTCTCTTTCATTCCTTCTCTCCTTCCTTCCCTCTTCAGATCAGGCATGGGCAAACTTGGGCCCTCCAGGCTGTTAGGAATTGTGGGAGTTGAAGTCCAAAACACCTGGAAGGCCCAAGTTTGCCCATGCCTGATCTAGATTCCGGTCCCTTCCTTGCAAGCCTGGATCCGCTAAAGTTCCCCCAAAGTTGCTTGGAAACACTCAAATAATACTAACACTAATAATACTAATATTTATACTACATATAATATAATATAATATAATAAAATTTTATTTGTAGACCGCCCTATCTCCCCAAAGGGACTTTGGGTGGTTTCCAGCATATATGACAAACATTCAGTGCCAGCGAGAAGACATAAACAACAACAATATAATAATAATAGTAATAATAATAATAATAATAATAATAATAATAATAATAAATATATAATAAAATGATATATAATAAAACTTTATCTCCCCGAAGGAACTCGGGGCAGTTTCCAACATATATGATGAACATTCAATGACAGCGAGTAGACATATAAACAACAACAACATAATAATAATAATAATATAACAAAATAATATATAATGAAACTTTATGTCCCTGAAGTGACTTGGGGTGGTTTCCAGCATATATGACAAACATTCAATGCCAACGAGAAGACATAAACAACAACAATGTAGTAGTAATAATAATAATAATAATAATAATAATAATAATAAATATAATATATAATGAAACTTTATCTCTCCGAAGGGACTTGGGGCAGTTTCCAGCATATATGGCAAACATTCAATGCCAATGAGAAGACATAAACAACAACAATATAATAATAACAATAATAATATATCATAATATATAATAAAATAATATATAAAACTTTATCTCCTCGTAGGGACTCGGAGTGGTTTCCAGCACACATTCAATGCCAACGAGAAGGCATGAACAACAAGAACAATATAATAATAATAATAATAATAATAATAATAATAATATAAAACTTTATCTCCCTGAAGCGAGTCGGGGTAGGTTCCAGCATACATTCAATGCCAACAAGAAGACATAAACAACAATATAATAATAATAATAATAATAATAATAATAATAATAGTAATACTAAAAATTTATCTCCCTGAAGGGACTCGGGGCAGTTTCCAGCATATATGGCAAACACCCAATGCCAATGAGAAGATATATAAACAACCACAATAATAATAATAATAATAATAATAATAATAATAATAATAATAATAATAATAGAAAGATAGATAATAAAACTTTATCTCCCCAAAGGGACTCAGAGCAGTTTCCAGCATCTATGGCAAATACCCAATGCCAGTGAGAAGACATAGAAACAGCCACAATAATAATAACAACAATAATAATAATATAATAAAACTTTAATAATAATAATAATAATAATAGATAGATAATAAAACTTTATCTCCCCAAAGGGACTCAGAGCAGTTTCCAGCATATATGGCAAATATCCAATGCCAGTGAGAAGACATAGAAACAACCACAATAATAATAATAATAATAATAATAATAATAATAATAATAATAATAATAATAATAATAATAATAATAAATAGATAATAAAACTTTATCTCCCCAAAGGGACTCAGAGCAGTTTCCAGCATCTATGGCAAATACCCAATGCCAGTGAGAAGACATAGAAACAACCACAATAATAATAATAATAATAATAATAATAATAATAATAATTTTCCAAGCCACTTTGGGGGAACTTTGGGGCGAGAGAGAGGAACTTTGTGGGATCCAGGCTTGGAAGGGAGAGAGAAGGGCTGAGAGTGGCGCAACAGGAAATAGGGAGATGTTGGGAAGGTACCTGGGAGAGGGAACTAGAACTCCCAAGGGTGGGTGGGATTTGACCATCCCCTCAACCCCAACCCTCCCATCAGGGTGAAGATGGAGCCCTTTGCCCATGTGCGAGAGCGCCCAGAGAAGGAGAGAATGGCAACCTGGAAGGATCAGGGATGCAGGAGAGAAGAGAGAGGGAGGGAAGAAGGGCAAGAGGATGGGTGAGGGTCTGGCTTACCCTCAGGGGCCCCTCCTGGGCACGGATACAGGGCGAGAGGGCGACCCAGAAGGCGAGTGAGGGCTCTTCCTGCTCCGGGCGTGGCGAGGGATGCCTGGCTTGGGCGACTTCTCCTCCTCCTCCTTCTCTCTTCTCTTCCTCCTCCTCCTTCTCCTCCTTCCCAGTGATGTCAGCGGGCTTGGCGGCTTTTGTGCTGATGCGCGCGGCTTTTGGGCAGAAGCCTGGAGCCCAAAATGAAGGGAGGGAGGGAGGGAGGGGAGGCAGGCCCTGTGCACGCGGGGACGCGCGTTCACACGTGACGCGCCTTGGGAAAGCGTGCAAAGCGGGCCGAGCGGGGCTATGCAACGCCCCCTGTTGCCTCCTCGACTCTCATAGGGAATGCAAGTCCTTTGGCTCCACTATAGCTGCCTGGAGTCAATGCTAAAGAAACCTGGGAGTTGTAGTTTCCCAAGGTCTTTCACTTCCCCTGCCAAAGACTGCTGATGCCTTTCCTAACTACTGATGCAATGCATGTACATTGACCCCACTTGAACTGCCCAGGCTCATTGTTAAGGAATTCTGGGAGTTATAGTTTTCCAAGGTCTTTCTCTTCCCTCTGCCAAACTCTGCTGATGGATCTCCCCCAACTACTAGTGCATCACTATACCTTTTGATCTCACTTGAATTACCCTGGCTCAATGCTAACGAATCCTGGGAGTTATAGTTTCCCAAGGTCTTTTAGCGGGCAAAGCAGGGGTATGCAACGCCCTCTTTGGCCTTCTCGACTCTCATAGAGAATGCATGTCCTGTGGCTCCACTATAACTGCCTTGAGTCAATGTTAAGGAAGCATGGGAATTGTAGTTTCCCAAGGTTTTTCACTTCCCTCTGCCCAACACTCACCCAACTATTAGTGCATCGCTGAATGTACTTTTTGACCTCATTTGAATAGCCCTGGCTCAATGTTAAGGAATCCTAGGAGTTATAGTTTTCCAAGGTCGTTCACTTCCCCTGTCAAAGACTGCTGATGCCTCTCCCAACTACTGATGTAACACTGTGCAATGAATGTACATCGACCTCACTTGAACTGCCCAGGCTCAATGTTAAGGAATTCTGCGAGTTATGGTTTTCCAAGGTCTTTCACTTCCCTCTGCCAAACACTGCTGATGGATCTCACCCAATTATTAGTGCATCACTCAGTGTACTTTTTGATCCCATTTGAATAGCCCAGGCTCAATGTTAAGGAATCCTGGGAGTTATAGTTCTCCAAGGTCTTTCACTTCCCCTGCCAAAGACTGCTGATGCCTCGCCCAGCTCCTGATGTAACACTGTGCAATGAATGTACATTGACCTCACTTGAACTGCCCAGGCTCAATGTTAAGGAATTCTGGGAGCTGTAGTTTCCTAAGGTCTTGCACTTCCCTCTGTCCAACATTGCTGGTGGCTCTCACCCAACTACTAGTTCATCACTGTGGAATGAATGGACCTTTTCACCCCACTTGAACTACCCTGGCTCAGTGCTAAGCAATCCTAAGAGTTATAGTTTCCCAAGGTCTTTCACATCCTGTATCTCCATTGTGGAATGAATGCAGTTTGGTTTCACATTGGATCAGCTCAGGCTCAATGTTAAGGAGTCCTGAAAATGATAATTCCCAGGATTCCTTAACATTGAGCTTGGGCTGTTCCAAGTTGGGTCAATGTACATTCATTCCACAGTGTTGCATCAGTATTTGGGTGAGTCATCAGCACTGCATGGTAGAGGAAGTGAAAGACCTTGGAAAACTATAATTTTCCAAAGTCTTTCACTTCCTCTGACAAAGACTGCTGATGACTCACCCAACTACTGATGCAACACTGTGGAATGAATGTACACTGACCCAACTTGGAACAGCCCAAGCTCAATGTTAAGGAATCCTGGGAGTTATAGTTTTCCAAGGTCTTTCACTTCCACTGCCATACACTGCTGATGCCTCACCACAACTACTTGTGCATCAGAACGGAATTAATGCAGTTTGGCCCCACTTGGAAAAGCCCAGGCTCAATGCTAAGGAATCCCGGGAGTTATAGTTTTCCAAAGTCTTTTACTTACTCTGCCCAAGACTGCTGATGCCTCACCCCAACTACTTGTGCATCAGAGTGGAATGAATGCACATTGACCCCACTTGAACAGCCCAGGCTCAATGCTAAGGCATCCTGGGAGTTACAGTTTTCCAAGGTCTTTCACTTCCTCTGCCATGCACTGCTGATGACTCACTCAACTACTGATGCAACACTGTGGAATGAATGTACATCGACCCAATTTGGAATAGCCTAGGCTCAATGCTAAGGAATCCTGGGAATTATATTTTCAAATCTTGGGAGTTGTAGTATTCCAAGGTCTTCCTCTGCCAGAGACTGCTTATGCTTCACCAAACTATTGATGCATCGCTGTGGAAGGAATGTACTTTTTGACTCCACGTGAACTACCCTGGTTCAATGCTAAGGAATCCTAGGAGTTATAGTTTCATCTGTCACTTCCTCTGCCAAGAGTGCTGATGCCTCACCAAACTACAGATGCATTGCTGTGGAATGAATGAATGTACAAAGCTGGTACAAAAGGACAAATCAGGAAGCAGAACAAGATGTATACGAGTGGTTTATCGATTCAGGAACCACATTTTGGAGTTAACTTGCAATGTGCTTCTATTGACAACTTGGGGAGTATTTTGACAGGAACGTCTCCTGTTTTATGACATTGCCTTGTCAATTCTAAGGATCTTTTTTTTTTTAAGGTAACTAAAGTAACACACAAGACGTATTTTTAACAGGAGTAGCAAGAAGTTGTGTGTTGAACACGATTACAAGTAACAGCAACAATTATTTTGTATCAGCTGTTTGCTTGGTGTTGTTAACTAAGTATCCTTAACAAAGTAAATTCTTGGGTGAATGATGTTTTTGTAGCCTGAAGATGATGGTCCTCCAAGTGCAGTGTCAACATTGACACTAAAATACAACACCGCCTGAGCTCTGCGAGTGCAGCATTCTTCCAAATGTAGCAGAGAGTGTTTGAGGACCGGGATATCTGTAGAGTGACCAATGGGCTTGTTTATAAAGCCATTGTCCTCCCAACTCTGCTATACACCTGCAAAATGTGGACTGTCTACGGACGTTAACATTGACATTGAAATAGAACACCTCCTGAGCTCTTTGAGTGCAGCATTCTTCCCAATGTAACAGAGAGTGTATGAGGACCAGGACATCTGTAAGGAGACCAATGGGATTGTTTATAAAGCCATTGTCCTCCTAAATCTACTATATGCCTGTGAAACTTGGACTGTCTACAGATGTCATACACAACTCCTGGAACAATTCCATCAGCTACATTTTCCAAATGTAGCAGAGAGTGTTTGAAGACCGCGACATCCATAGGAAGACCAGTGGGCTTGTTTATAAAGCCATTGTACTCCCAACTCTGCTATACACCTGCAAAATGTGGACTGTCTACAGATGTCAACATTGACACTGAAATACAACACTGCCTGAGATCTGTGAGTGCAGCATTTTTCCGAATGTAACAGAGAGTGTTTGTGGACTGGGACATCAGTGGGGTGACCAAGGGGCTTGTTTATAAAGCCGTTGTCCTCCCAACTCTGCTATAAACCTGCAAAATGTGGACTGTCAACAGATGTCAACGTTGACACTGAAATGCAACACTGCCTGAGCTCTGCGAGTGCAGCATTCTTCCAAATGAAGGAGAGAGTGTTTGAGGACCGGGACATCTGTAAGGTGACCAATGGGCTTGTTTATAAAGCCATTGTTCCTCCAACTCTGCTATACACCTCCAAAATGTGGATTGTTTACAGACGTCAACATTGACACTGAAATACAACACCGCCTGAGCTCTGCGAGTGCAGCATTTTTCCGAATGTAGCAGAGAATGTTTGAGGATCAGGACATTCGTAGGGAGACCAAGGGCTTGATTATAAAGCCATTGTCCTCCTAACTCTGCTATACGCCTGTGAAACGTGGACTGTATACAGATGTCATACACAACTCCTGGAACGATTCCATCAGTGCTACCTCCAAAAAATCCTGCAAATCTCATTCTGAAGACGAGTGGACAAATGTCAGCATGCTTGAAGAAGCAAAGACTACCAGCACTGAAGCAATGTTCCTCCGCCATCAACTCCGCTGGACTGGCCACGTTGTCCGAATGCCCAATCACCGTCTCCCAAAGCAGTTACTCTACTCCAAACTCAAGAACGAGAAACAGAATGTTGGGAGGCTGAGCCTCTTGTATGCTTCTGCGAAGGTGTTTAGTGTGGCTTGTAGGTCTTCTTCTAAATGCGCACAGGCTATGTTATCATCAGCATATTAGGATTCTATAACAGATGTTGTGACCTTGGTTTTGGCTTCTTGTATGCTTCTGCAAAAGTGTCTAGAGTGGCTTGTAAGTCTTCTAAATGCACATAGACTACGTTATCATCAACATACTGGAGTTCTATCTATGTATCTATATATATAGTGTGTATGTGTGTTGTGTGTGTGTGTGTGTGTGTGTGTATATATATATATATATATATATATATTCCACTTGCTTGACTTCCATCAGATCCTCTGACAATGCCACACACACACACACAAGCAAATAGAACAGTGGTTCTCAACCTTTCCAACACTGTGACCCCTAAATATGGTTCCTCATGGGGGTGACCCCCAAACATTAAATTATTTTTGAGAGTGTGAGGCAGGCAAGGGAGGCTTTGCGTGAGGCCAGGCCTCACGTGAAGGAGCCCTCGCCTGGCTCTTGCCCTTGCCGGCCAGTGAAAGCGCAAGGCAGGCACAGGTGGCTTTGCGTGAGGCCAGGCCTCATGCAAAGGAGCCCTCGCCTGGCTCTCACCCTTGCCAGCCAGCAAGAGCGCAAGACAGGTGAGGGTGGCTTTGCACGAGGCCTGGCCTTGCGCAAAGCCTTGAGGGATGGGGGCCAAAGCCTTGGGGGGCAGGGCCAAAGGAGGTGGCTTTGCGACCCCTCCGAAATGGCCAAACAACCCCCTTGGGAGTCGCGACCCCCAGGTTGAGAACCGCTGATATAGAATATTACCTATTTTTACTTTTATTATGTGTATAGATTTGTTAAGATGCTTAACCCAAACACATCCCCAAAAACTTTGGCTGCAGTCCTCCAACACTTTTGGAGATGATTCTTCCAGAGAGCCAGGCCATCAAATACTCCTTGAGAATAGGATAGCATTGGGGAAAATAAAAATGGAGCTGGTTGTGAGCTCAGCTGGGTC